GCCGCTTATTCTGGTTCCTGCTGGGCTGTGTTTGTATTCTGTATGGTGCTATCAGAAAACCGGGGAGCTTTGGGCTTACGACATCCTTTGGAGAAAAAGAGTCGCTACTGAAATAGAGTTACCGTGCTACTAACCATATAAATGTGATCGCACTGAGGGCTGCAGTTGTTCTGCTTCCATTTATCTATTGTGTGCAGGCAGATATATTCATTTTGCTTCCTCTAAAGTCTTTGGTGGAACACGTGTGTCTTGTTACATCCCTCACTGAATCATAAATAAATTCTTCCTGTCTTTGCCACCTCAATTTGAAATGCTAGGAGGATCGGTAATGACATGGGGTTTAACTAACCCCTGTTTTGAAGTCAGGAGAAAAATTCCTGCTAGCCTAATTGGGCTTTGGATCCAGTTCTGATGGAAAGGTTCATTTTAATTCTTTAAAGAAAAGCAAAGCCCACTGTAGGTGCTCAAAGGGCAAGCTGGATGTGCTGTAATACATCCCTGTCATCTCTCAAGTGTGGGCAATCCAATGAGACCTGACATCGTTACCCGCTCCTGCTCCTTGGGGGCAAGACGCACAGCAGCAGAGCTGGGAATGCTGCATTGCACCTGAGCAGGCTTGGGAGAGCGCTTGCCCCTTTCCGAAATACCCCGAGAGTTTTCCTGGGGTAGAACTGGGCGCTGCTGCTCTCCAAAGGATGCCATTTGGTGTGAAAGCAGCTGAGCAGAGGTGGGGGGAAATGCGAGCGGTTTTCAGAGAACCGCTGCTGGGCTGTGCTGCAGCCCTCCCAGGGTGTTTCTGGAGGGTCTGCCTGGGGACCTTGCCCAAAAGCCTCAACTGGAAGGCAGGCAGAGCCCCAAATCGGTACTCTTGCCTGCTTTCAGGGCTGATCCAAACATAACTTGGGGCATTTCTCCCCTGGATGCTCTTATGGGTAGGAGAGAGGCTGAGCTACAGGGTGATATACCTGAAATATCCTCAGGCTGCTTCGGGGTTTAAGTTTGGGGGTTTTTTTGGGGTATGTGTTAGGAGTGTCATTAAGGTTGGTCTGGACCTGGTGAGAGCTGTGCCCCGGGTAGCTGATGCCAGCATCCCAGCTCTCTGCTGGGACTGATCCTCCCCGGCCGAGGCAGGGAAAGGAGGAGACCTTCGCAGCATCCTCGCAGCCTGGTTACTCTTCCAGGGTTTTAGGCAGGCAATGTTTCCTTTGGTAGAGGACTTGCAGAGGGAAGGAGGCAGGAGGAGGAAGGTGGGAGAAATAATTTAAGAGGCTGTGTGGCACCGCGGTGCTGCGGTTATGTGGAGGGGTAGCGCGGTGAGGTCTGTGATGGCTGGGAGTGGGGCTGATGGGGAGACGTGGTCGCGTGGGTACACATGCCGGTGGAAGTGTACCTGTAGTCGAACGACCCGTCTTCTACGTTCTTGTCTTCGGGATTTAGATGCTCATCTTTATTGTCTCGTACTGTAAACAAGCACATCCCCGACGTTCACGTTAAAAAGCAGTACAGAAGATAAAAGCTTTACGAGACAGTAACAGCAGCTGGCATTGGGGCTGTCTTTGTGAAAGCCCCGTAGGGTGAAGTACCGCTTTTCATTGACTCAGTAAAAATCCCGCACCTGGGAGGGCTTGCAAAGGGTGCTGCTGTGACAGCACCAGGGCACAGGGCACTCCAGATAGCGAGGGACGATGTATTAATCTTAAGTCTTATCTTTGCTTTGCAAAAATTTAATGAGATTTGTTGCCTGAAAAGATCTTTTTCTAGGTGAGGACAAGCAAATTTGCAGAGCAGAGGTTGGGTCGGGCATAGCAGGAGTATCCAGCTCCGCAGCCTGATGCCTGCACAGCACAGAGCCCTCCCCTGACCTTTAATTAACTGAAATGCTTCCCGCTAATAATGGCGTTCCCACTACGGAGAAAGAAAAGCCCTTGTAGTCACAAGCATCTCTCTGAGAGCAATACAATTTGATTAGCCCCCAGAAGCCTGGAGATGTTTAAACCATGAGCAGGAGTGATTGCCATGCAACGCTCTTACCTGGGTATTTCCCGCCTCTGCTCCTCTTAATGAAGCAGACGATCAACAGAATAAGGACCAGGAGAGCTATGGCACACATCAGCCCGATGAACCAGCCCTGCGTTGCGATGTCCACGTGGTTCTTGGTATAAGCTGGGAGGAAAATGGAAAGAAAAAAAAAAGCTATAAGGGACAGACCAGAACCACAGAGGGAAACAGATGAATAGTAAGACACAGTCCACCGGTTTAGAAACTATCTTTAGCGCTGCATTTGTGTGTCTATATCTGTATTGACCAGATTATCTGAGACTGTAGCACAGGGACCTGTGGCTTTTTTTGTTGTTTTGCTTTTGTGATGGTAGATCAACTCAACTTTTAGCAGGAGCTACAAACAGCGAAAGGTCACAACATAAAGTAAAACCTAGCACAGACCAGTGAGAAAGGCGCATTGCAAATAATGGCAAAAGAAGCTGGGTTTGATCTTTCCTTTACTCTGTCTGAAAACTGCCCTGGAAGCGAGAAGGTCTGAAAGAAACGTGCCCAAGCGGATCCAGTCCCCGGTGTCCAGTGAGGCTGAGCCGCCCCACTGGATCCAGAGGGTTGCTGAGCCCTGAAGGGCTCGTTAGCAGCCTGGGGCTGGGAGAAACCTGAATCCCGTGGGACAGCCTTGCCCGATGGGCACTGGCTCTGCTGCCACCGCCGCCGGGGTCCTGCTGCCTTTGGGTGGCCACAGGGCATCTCTAGGGCTGAGAGGGGACTTGTGGAAGCCCACGAAGACTTGGCCGATGCAGGAGTGGGGATGCAGGAATGACAGCTAGGTCCCAGATAGTTGAGAGATGGTCTGATAGCGCTGGAAAGTGTTTTCTCCTGGGGCAAGGTCTTTATACCACTGCTTCCAGCACCCTCACGAGGCTACTGAGTATTAACCTGATTAATACCAAGCAAGGAGGTGTCTTGTTCCCCGAACAACACTCTGGTGTGTCCTCCCTCACGTACTCTGAGTTCTTGTTTGCAGCTCCCATACACGGTCAGACAGACAAATCTGTGTCCTATAAATAGCAACAAGCTGCCATTTTCTGGCTCTCATTGACATGCACTTTGTATTCAGCAAGACAGAGCAGAGGAGAAAATAACCTTCAGCGCAGCAGGGGGGCTAAATTTAACCAGACTGCAGTGCAAACGGAGATAGGTATTCCTGGCAGGAGCATGGGAGATCTGAGCTGGATGGGATTCAGTTGGGATTTAGCAGGGATTTGCCTGAAATGGGCAGGACGGTGCAGCCAGCATCCTTTTGTGGTGCCCATGTGACAAAAAACAAGATGGTGCTTACAAAGAAAGCATAAAAGATAGCCCTCCGTTAATGTATTCTGAATGAAAGGCTCTTGTAAGAGAGACAACAACTTTAAAAATGAGTTGAATCGGTAAACTTTCCTAACCCACACCATTTCAGGGCTGTAAGTGCATACTGATGCCATCAAAATTGAACCCAAGAGAAGATGTGCTTTCCTTAGGATGAAATCTAAGCCACGTCAGTAGGTGATTGCAGCCAAGCCGTGAGAAGGAAATTCAGATAGAAGAGGAGAATGACAAGAGAGAGTACCGTTTGCTAAATAAATGATGTCGGACCGTCTGAACGCTCTGTGTTTGTGAGCGGCACCGAGCTCCTGGGGAAGCCGGGTGGAAGCAGCTGCCCAACCGTGCCTTGGCTCCCTTGTGCTGCTTTTCCCTCTAATGCTGCCACATTTAGTATTTACCTTTAGTACAACCTGAGCTACGTAGTCCTCAAAGAGGCACTTTTTATAATGGAGCGAAGGAGATTGTAACAGAGCGGAGCTGAGAACCGGATTCAATTAGCTGAGTGCTTGGGGAGGAAAGGGGGAGAAAGCTTTACTGGAGAGCTTTGATACGGAAAAAGGTTGAATTAGCAGTCCTGATGGGATGGGATTTCTGCAGAAACCAAGGCTAAGGGAAGCAATAAGAGGGTCTTCAAAGTACGAAATGCCGGAGCAGGCTGAGAGGTGGGTTTGTGCCACTGCGGGAACTGGGGCCGAGTTTTACAGGGAGGGAGGATTTTGAGTGTGGAGTCACCGGGGGATCTTGCAGTAGGATCGTGGCACTGCCTATCGCCAAGGTAGGGGTGTAATTGCCATCCTTCCCAAAAAAGCAACACATGACAACAAAATTATAGTCACAGCAATCTTGTATTTAGAGTAAACGAGTGACTGTCATTGCAGCATTGAGAAAGAGAAGATTAAGTACATGGCTGTCAGAGAGGATGTTTTGATTTGCTTTAATGTAAGGCCAACGTCAAGGGGAAATAGTGGAAAGCAGCTGCGTAATCGAACAGGTATTGATTTGAAATGCAACTGCGGTGACTCTTTTTTTAAATTAATTATAATCTTGTGGCAGAAAACAAGTTACCTAACAGTCATAGTTTATATGCCAATAGCAAAGCTGACTGTGTTCCACCAACAGCAGATCGGAAAAATTTGTCTTTGTAAAGCAGACCATTAAGTCTGCAAAATCTCACTAGCTCCAGCCTTGCGTGATCCTCTTCCCAGTGTTTGTACAGGCTGGGGATTTTTTTTTTTTTTTTTAAATTTAGAAGACCTTTTTGTATCAAGCTATGTTTGGAGTTTCAAAGTGCCCTTTACTACTGGAAGGAACTCTGTTGGGTTACCGAGCTGTCCGTTAATCAGAAGCAAAGTCGGAGGGCAGTGTCCGGCAGGCACAGTGCGGGTGGACTACTTCTTATTTATCTCCCCTCAAACTGAGCAAACCTTTAGAATAGCTATTTGCAAAACATTAAAAAACCCAAACCCACAAAAAACTAAACAGTGCTTTTTTTGTCCAAAGCATTCCTGATGGCATATGATTGTCAGCGGGGGCCGAACGCTCGTGTCAGCAGTATCCAGCCAGCAAAGAAATGGATCTGCGGCATTTCTGCATGCAGGGACGGCGATAGCTCTGTGCGTCCCACGGTCACGGGGCTCAGGTCACCCATCGGCCTCTGTCACAGGAGCAAAGGTGGCCCCATCCTTTAGTCTCAATGACAATATCAGTGGGAACACCCTCAATTACAGAAAATAGATATGCCGAGACTGCCAGCATCAATCAGCCAAGGATATTGCCTTTTTTCCCCCCTCTTGCTAATGATTCCCTGCCCCTTGCTGTCCGTTGGGCAGGGGGCTGCCCCCTCTCCCCCCAGATCCCAAAGCGGGTGAAAAGCGGGCGAGAAAAGAAGAGAGACGGGTCCGCACTGGGAAATAGTTATGCAGAAGGACACGTTGCATGGTATGGATGGGGGCTGTCGAGCTGGTGGTGATTTCTGAGTCAGAGGGGGGTCCAGAAGCAGAAACGAAATTGGGGAGGCAACATTGCAGCTGGAGCTGTTCTGGAGAGAGCCTGAAAAATCAGCTCTTATCGTCTGGGGTCAGAATCAGCCTCTGCAATGCCCAGGGACTTGAAACCTACAGACCGTTTGCATGTCTGCGAGCCGAGTCCTGCCAAAGCAAAGCTGTGAAAACTCCCAAGGCAAGGCAGCCGCACCGTGCGGCATGTACGGCAGCGGAGCGATGGGGGAAAAACCCCGGTGAAAATAAAACCTTTTTGAAAACACGGCTTTCTGCAAAGCCAAGCGTGTTCCAGGGGCTGCTGTGCTGTGGATTCGACCACATCACTGGGCGATGGAGCAGTTTGAGGAGGCACATCAGACCTCGGTGCGGGGCAGAGGCAGGACAGAACCGAGGGCAGCACTCGCTGGTTATTTCTCGGTGTCGGGCAGCATTAGACGTGCAGAAATACCAGCGGTTGCCATCTGTCTGTGTGTCATCTTAGCACATCAGAGAATTACTCAGAGGCGTTACGGCTTTCCAAATTTTTGGACACCAAATAAGATGTGCAAGGGGGTGTGGGGAGAGGTGCTGTGCCCCACCGCCCGCTGCAGCACTCCCTCGCTGTGAATTACGTTCTCCTTTTGCGCTTCTTGGCAAAGAGACCGGTAAGTGCTTGAGCTTTCCATTACACGGCTGGATCTGAGCAAAATAATTTTAGTTCTGTGAAAATCACAGCCTCTACCTACTACATCTGTCAGTATGGGTTGCTCCAGTGTTGCTTGCTTCTTGTTTTTTCAGCTAAGTGTTTAGACCCGTGCTTTGACAGGCGTTGTGCACAGATTCCTACGGCAAAACCCCCAGGTGAATACGAAGGAAGTTATGGCTGTTTTGATTTACCGAACCTCATCGAGTGTGAATGGTGAGGTTTTATAAACGCGTAAAGCCCGTTTCAATGCCTGTGGAAGTCAATAAGGGTATTTCGCTGGCATTCGGTGCGCAGTATAGGAAGCCCATAATTAGAAAGCTGTAAAAATCACTCGGGTGCTAAGCCTGGAAAATTGCTTGTGCAATTAAATGGGAAGTTGCCAGAGGAAGCGTACCTGGCGGATGGACGGAGAGCCCTAGGCGTGCGCCACATGTGACTCTGACCGAGGTCTTCTGCAAACACCGCGTTCCCCATCCCGGTCCTGCCCCTCTCCTGCATCCCATCACCAGTCTCCCCCCGCCTGCCCCTCTGCCATAACGCGGGGCCAGACGCGTGGACGCTCTCCGGGGCCAAAGCAACCACCACCGAGTAGCGACGCGCAGGTAGAAGTGCAAACACACGGTGGCGGGGCTTCAAGCAGAGCCGCATGACAACATGAGCACGTTCTCCACCCTCCTGAAAGACCCTTTCCTTCAAAGGGGTCCCCATCCCCTCCTGGGGCTCTCCTCCTCCTCCGTCCAATGTGGAGCAACCTCCCGGCGATGTTGGGGGTAGCTCTTTAATAAGGGCAGAGATGGGGCGGGGGGGGCTACCGGGGGGGTTGGATGAGGGTTGTTCCATGCAGTCATGGTCAAACCACCTCCCGCCACCACGCGAATGACGTCGGTGGTGATGGATGTGACATGCCTCGGAAACGCACCCCGCGGTGGGGCTGAAGCCCGTCTCACCTGAGCTGGTGGTAAAGGTTATGTACGAGTGTTCGCTGGGGCTAGACCATATGGGGAACACCCACAGCTTGTACATCATTCCCGGCGTCAGATTCGCCAGCTGCACAGAGGAGGGGGTCTGAGCTTTAACAGGGATAGATTTCTCTGTCTTGTTACCTGAGAAACAGAAACCGCACATCAAACCCAGCCGCAGGAGGCTCGGAGAGATTACCGTGTTGACACTGCAGGCAATGCATTATGCTGTCCCTAGCTGCTGAGCAGAAATAATACAGCTTGATGGTCAAGGAGCTATTAACGGCTTCGTCATTATTACTCACTGAGAACAGAGGGAAATCGGTGATGCAGGAATATGGTGTGGGTTTTGCTGCATCCCTGCGTGCCACGCTGGAGCAAACACTGGTAGCTATTCAGATCTCTCCCTACTTTTAAGACCTGATAGATCCTTTATCTGCCCAGCCTCAGGTCTGGATATTTGGATATTTACTGCAAAAGATCTGAAATTTGCCTGGTCCTGCTCAGCTGGATGAAGGTGCTACAGGACTCAATAAAGGAGCTAGTTCTGCTTTTGGGAGCGGTACCTGTGCACCAGCTTTACTGGCAGGTTAAGGAGGCTTTGAACGAGCAGGACGTTGCATTAAACATGCCGTGAGAGTGCTTGTCCCAGCTGGCAGATTGCCGCTTTTGGGGGCGAGAGGAGTTTAGCCCTTCAGCCCAAGGAGGGATGCTCATGGGCTGGTTGCTCCCAGGCTTTATCCAAGGATGACCTGTTCTTTGCACTGTGCCGGGAATTGTTTGCTGACGAGCTTAATGCTGAGCATTAAAACATTGGATTCTAAGAAAGCCTGCAGTGGGGCTTTGATTTGTGGTTCTGGAGGTGTGCACCTCCCCGTTCAGCAGTGCTGCAGGGGAGCAGAAACGTGGCTTTGAGGCCAAAAGCGTGCTGCTTGCTTCAAACGCCACGAGAAAGGGAGGAGAGCCGTGGCTGTTGGGGAAGGGCTGAAGTCTCCAAGATTTCCACCCTCTCTCACAGCCAGATCCTGGTAACCAGGGTATCCCAAGGCATTGCTGCTGCTCCCGCAGCCCGTCCCGAGCACAGACTCGGCACGTGGGCTCTGGAAGGGCATCGCCGGCGCTTTGTGCTTCCCGGGAATGGGGAAAAACCAGGGCTGGCGGCCGGTACTTTGGGAGCTGGGATACTTGGCGTTTAGGGCTTGGAAAGCTGATGCGTATCCTGAATTATGGAAACCAGTTAAAAAGGGAAAGGCTGAGGGTAGCCCAGCCCGTGCTGCCTCCCGAAGCCCTGCAGGCTGCGGAGCCAGACCAGGCACTGGCTGCGCATTAGGAATTGTTTCAAGGAGAAATCAAAAAGTTATCTCTTAAGCGATGTTGTGAATGGCCAAAAGTGGTTTGCTGTCAATGATTGCTCCTCGTTGATTTATTTTAAATACGGATTTAAGAGTGGCGTACCAGATGATGTGAGGGCTGAAATGGCTGGGAAATAAAGTCAGAGATAAGCAGTAGTCATCACTGCCTATCTATAAAAAAAACCAAAAACCCACAACCAACCAACAACAAGTAAACATCTTTCTAAATAAGTACTAAAACCAGAGACACTGGCTTTGACTTTCCAGACTAAGTATGTAGCCTTACAATTTAAGAGACAACGATATCCGATACGACAGGAGGATCGGGATCATAGATGATTCTGCCAACTCCAGGTTCAAGAAGCCCAACGTCAAAGGCCTTTAAAACTGCTCTCCAATTTATGTAATTTCATTTGTTTTCCCTTAAAAGTTTTGTCCCCTGTCATATATATCTGTCTGCATTTAAGGCTCTTTACGTTGTGACCACATACAGCCCAGCTCAACGAACAGTTCACAAATGAACAGCCTTGCTCATCTCCGTTTCATAAACACCTCGTGGCAGTCGGTGCGAGGAGGGGGAGTCACTTGTGAATCACCAGGATTAGCTCTGGTGCACTCTAAAGAGCCATGACCGTGACCTGCCTCCTCCTCTCCCATCCTCCCCGTGGCCATAGATCATCATTCCACACATGGTAATTAAAAGTAATAGGTTGCACCCGTGGGAGCTGGCAGGATCTCTAATGGCATCACCACCCTGTAGAGTCCCCACGCGATCTGATGCTTACTGGTGATATACTTAACCACAAAGTCAGTTCCTGCAGAGTAATTGTGGCTCCAGGTGATGTTTGCCCAGTTACTATTAGCCATAGCTCTTATGTCCCATATGGACGATCCATTGGTGGCTGGTGGACAGGTTAGAACAGGAGTTAGTATTTTAGATGATACATGAATGAGACCTCATCTAGCATCTGGTGTTGGTAAAACCTTACAAAATCATTCCTGGAGTTAATGCTTTGATCTTAACCTACAAGCATGCCTGAGGACGTATTTGTTCTTTTCAAGATCCTTCACTTTAAATTTTTGGGGGAAGTTTGGTAGCAGAAGCTCATTTGCCTACTGGTGTTTAAGTCCAGCTTAGCTTTGGAGTCCGAAGGCTTCTGTGGCACATCCCTGAGGAGTTCGGTCAGCAGGGAAATCTCCTGACTAAACTCGTGCCCAAACGGACACGGGAGACGTGTGCCTGAGCGCACACGGACTCACCGCCACAACCGAGGAGGAAAGACTGGGCGAGAATATTGTCATGTTACTGGGTCTAGAGACAGCCAGTGGGGCAATGAAGTCACTCGTTTCTGATTTTGAAGTTAAGGATTGTCGACGTTGCTTTGGAGAGCGGATGAACTTCATTCCTAGTGAAGTAGAGCTAATGCACTAGTTAGGGTGTGTTTAAGTGACGTCAGATAAGTTACGCCTTGGTTTTGTTGTTATTTACTTCAGGGTGCAGCTCACGTTTTGGCATGACAAAATACAGATTATTAACTGCGGTCCCCGGGGACGAGGCCAGCTCTGCGACTTTTAGGGAACTGCAAGGACCTGATGCTGCGGGGCTGGGGCCGTGACCTAGAACCCCCCCCGACGAAGCCAACCTGTGCTGCCACACGTTTGCCCTGTCTGCCCACATTAGGGCTCAGCCTCTTCCCTCCTGTCCCCGGGGAGCTTGGGGACACACGTGCCATTCCTTTTGCCGCTCCTCTTTTCCTCCCGTCCCCTCTCCCTCCTCTCCGGCAGCGTGTGCATCGCCATTTCATCGCCGGTTTTCAATTAGCAGCGTTTTCCCACGTAGTCACTTGGAAGTGACTGTGTGGTGGTAGCAATCTGGCCTCATTGCTAAGACCTGACGTAGAGTGATGAAGCTGCGCCTGTGTTTCTCGCACCAGTTTTGAAGCTGATTTTGGTTTTGGCAATGGGGCTCCCTGCGTGCTTTCCCTGGACGTGCGGTTAGCAGCTGTGCAGAGCGTCAGGCTGCCCTGGCGGGGCTGGTGGGTGCTGCCACGACCTGGAACACAAATTCACCTTTCTTCCGTCAGGTCTGCCTCTTTTAATAAACAAATCGGGGCAGAGCAGGAGATGCGCTGCCGATTCGCAAATCTGTTTTACTGCGGAGTAGCAGGTGGAGGCAGGTCCTGCCAGCATATGGTTTTGGTGGTTTTCTTTTTTTTTTTTAACCACCCTGAACTAATCTTATGCAAGAATATAAAGAAAGGGGTCTGAACTGCTTTAATCAAATTCCTTGAGTTAAATGGGTGTCAACTTTGACATTCATTTTTACTACTATCTCCTTTCCCTCTTTATGAAGAGTTAACAAAGGTTTCTGCAGCTTTTGCACTTGAATTTTTGAGTACATCCTATCCAGCTATGCATCTGAATTCTTTTGATTGCGTTCCCTTTTGCTACTAGCTTGATTGATTTTTGAATAACCTGAATACAACTAGCCGTAATTATTTATTAACTGTAGATACTGTTATAGCAGTGTTTTAAAACCAAGGCTCAGTGAGCTACATCTCCCTGTATCTACCCGTAAAACACACATAGTAGAGAATACGCCCCCACCAAAACACAGTCTGACTGTCCCATTCTAGCTGATTGCATGAGAAGTTTATCTTCACCTGGTAAATACCTGGCACAGACCTGCGTGTTGTAACTAACTTAAACACTTCCCCAGCTCTCCTGCGGGCTACGGCTACCTTACATCGCAAAGAGCAGTAGCATGAACCAAAAGACTTGTATAAATGATGACAGGTCTCTTAGCTAACAGCTGATGTGCTAAATTTGAAGTGACATCTTCTATAATAGTAACAGAACCCCTTTTTAACGGCAATAAGATACAAGTTACTATTTTTGAGAGCTTTTGTAGGGTCTTCCACCTCCTTCCCAAACAAACACTGATGCTAATTCAGCATCGCGACGCCCTGGGAAGGGCTGTGTTATCCCTGAGACTGAGACCAGGAGGGTGGCACAGAGACCCCCAAATTGCTGGGAGCCACTTGTGCACCTCCGTTCCTGAGCCTCTGCCACCTCCGGCTCCTCACAAAACCGTTGCCAGAGCGTGGGATGTCTTAAATTTTGCTTGTGCCCATTATCAATCTGAGCGAGATGCGGGGAAGGTCCCAGTAGGGTTAGAGGGGTTAGAGGAAAAGGAAAGCGCAGTACCCAACTCCTGCTTTGTGGTGGCTGCCGGAGCCCGCTCTGTAGCTGCTGTGGTGCTTGCGGCGGTGGTGGCGGCTGTAGTGGTGGTGGTAGTGGTGGTGGTAGTTGTGGTAGTTGTGTCGCTAGTTGTGGTAGTTGTGTCGGTGGTGGCGGTAGTTGGGGTGGTTGTAGTACTGGTTAGACCGATTGTAGTTGGAGGCGACCCAGTTGCAGCTGGGAGAGGGAAACACTGGGTTTTTAGACGAGGTGATGTCTCCGGGGGGCTCGCACTCGCCATCCCCGACGGCTGGGCGCGCAGGCACACGAGAGAAAGCGGAGCAGCACAGCACAGAGGTGGGGGGACTGGGGAGGGAGGCAGCAAACAGCACCGGGAAACACGAGGCTGAACCCCTTTCCCCATCCCCGTCCACGTGCGGGGACGGCCACACGCCCAGCCGAGGGGC